ACTAAACCAAGTGGTCGAGTGTGTTGTGGCACCGCCATGGGCGTACCAACCGGGGGGGCAAGGAATGTGTTTTGCCACCCCCCCCCCCCCCCGAAACAGCTGCCACTGGGTAGGGCAAACACTGGCCGGCGGCGCCCAAGGGATACCAAGGGCACCGCCCTCCGGCCCTGAGGGGGGGGGGGGGGGTTGCCCCCTCTCTCAAAATCAAGTTGGTACACCCGTGGGCAGCGCAGATCAGAGCACGTGGAGAAATGCTCGAGCGCGAGCTCTATTCATAGCCAGAGGTCGGCATTTTAGGTCGCCCTCACTCACCCTCACCCTCACAGCCACACTCACCTAAGCCCCTCACTCACCCTCACCCTCACAGCTACACTCACCTTCAGCCCCTCACTCGCCCTCACCCTCACAGTCACACTCACCTTCAGCCCTTCACTCACCCTCACTGAACCTCCCGGCCCTCACGCACTCACCGCCCTCACGGCCCTCATGCCCCTCACGGCCCTCACGCCTCTCAAGCCCCTCACTCACTCATGGCCCTCACGCCACTCACCGCCCTCACGCCACTCACCGCCCTCACGGCCCTCACCGCCCTCACCGCCCTCACGGCCCTCACCGCCCTCACGGCCCTCACGCACTCATAGCCCTCACCGTCCTCACGGCCCTCACGCACTCATAGCCCTCACGCCACTCACCGCCCTCACAGCCCTCAACGCCCTCACGGCCCTCACCGCCCTCACCGCCCTCACGGCCCTCACCCGCCTCACGGTCCTCACCGCCCTCACGGCCCTCACGCCACTCACCGCCCTCACGCCACTCACCGCCCTCACGCCACTCACCGCCCTCACGCCACTCACGCACTCATGGCCCTCACGCCACTCAGGCCAGCTTCAGATGGGGCAATTTCGCCCAGAAACTTTACGTCGCAACACCAGCAACACGCGCCGCCCGCGATCACACGCAGCAACCAATTGCTGCAATTTGCCATCGTCATCATAAAATTTTATTTTTCTTGCACTATTTAGACACAATTACGCGTTATAAACGTGTTTTTGTGCATTTAAATCTCGTTAAGAATACTAATGCACCTTTCTGAAACAGTTTATTTCTAAAAAAACGATCGATTTCAAACAAGAACCAAGTCTTTCGGTGTCATCATCACCGGCACGAGGTATCACGTGAAAATTTTGCGTCCCTGATTAGATGCAGCCGCTTCAAACGTATTCGAATTGCTCCGAGTTGCTTGCTTATTTCGAGCCGGACCCGATCTCAGCAATTCTTGTCTATCTAGGGAAAGCTAGAGAACAACCCGCCATTAACACCAAAATTGCTGAGAAAGATGCTCGATCTGAAGGGGGCCTCACGCACTCACCGCCTTCACGGCCCTCACATCACCTCATGCACTCACCGCCCTCACGGCCCTCACGCCTCTCATGCCACTCACTGCCCTCACGCACTCATGGCCCTCACACCCCTCACGCACTCACCGCCCTCACACCACTCACGCACTCATGGCCCTCACGCCACTCACTGCCCTCACGCCCCCCACACACTCATGGCCCTCATGGCCCTCACGACCCTCACGGCCCTCACCGCCCTCACGGCCCTCACCGACCTCACGGCCCTCACCGCCCTCACGGCCCTCACCGCCCGCACGGCCCTCACTCACCCTCACACTCATGAATTTTCCTGGTTCAGAAACTCACTCACCCTCACCTCACCTGTGAAGATGAGGGTGAGTGAGGGTGAGTGAGGGTCCTCATGAGTGAGGTTTGCCGAGGTATGCTCATAGCACGGAGCTCACGCTGCAGAACCTGTAGGGAATAAATACCATCGTGCGCTGGTCTTTGAAATAACCTCAAAGGTGCTAGTGCACGAGGCCCGTGTCTCAAGCGGCGCTTGAAGGCAAATGGCGGCGCAGCACTAAAATGACTGGCCCTTGTAAGCGAATGGCGGCGGAGCACCCGCTCGTGGTTTTGCGCATTTCCACAGCAATGGTTGGCGGTACTTGTAAAAAACGTCTTTATCAAGGGGCTTTACCAAGGGCCCTGGGTTGTGTCGCCCATCTGCATCCTACCGTCGTGCGATTGTCTACCACATATACTGCGTATTGCACGTTAAAGACCCCGAGCTAACAGTTGTACAGCACTTTTTATGATCTTCAACGGGTAACAATGTCGCCCTACGAAACTGCTTCTCTCTAAAAAACTAACGACTATTTTTGAATGCGCCGTTACATTGCATTTTTAATTCGTGTTCGCGTGTTTGCGTTTTTTGTTTTTAGAGCGCAGCTGTTAGGCGCCCGTTTCTGGCTTGAGCGGCGTCGCCGTCGCCGTCGGCGTAACCGCGCGGTGCATTATGGGTAAATTTTCCCGAAGGAACCCGAGGTCCTCCCGAAGGATCTCGGGTTCCTTTGGGAGGACCTCGGAAGGACCTCGGGTTCCTTCGGGAGGACCTTGGGTTTTTTCGGGAGGACCTCAGAAGGACCTCGGAAGGACCTCGGAGTCCTTCGGGAGGACCTCGGGTTCCATCGGGAGGACCTCGGGAGGACCTCAGGCTCCTTCGGGAGGACCTCGGGTTCCTTCGGGAGGATCTCGGGAGGACCTCGGGTTCCTTCGGGAGGATCTGGGGGGGGGGGGGGGGTCACGTTACCTGGGGGGTCACGTGACGATGACGTCATCAGTGACGTCATCAGTGATGATGACGATGACGATGCGGATGACGATGACGTCATCAGTGACGTCACTGATGACGTCATCGTCACGTGACCCCCCAAGTCACGTCCCCCCCCCCGAGGTCACGTGATCCCCCCCTTCCGAGGTCAACTGACCCTCCCAGTACCCTTCCCTCCTCCCCCTAAAGAGCTGCGCTCTAATTCGGCGTTACAGGGAGTTGTAAACGGCTTTTTCTTTTTCTTGTCTACATCTACGATTATGCGGCTCTTACTTATAATGAAACAGACTATAGTTGTCGGACTTCTGGAAAATATTATATAGCTAAGAAAATGGCACGTGAACGGAAAAGACACAAAAAAACCACACACACACATAGGCGCACTCATTAAAATAATTGAAATAATAGAATTCATTATAATTGTGTTTTCAAAGGTTTGAGCCCACCAAAGGCTATAAAAGCGAGCTCGATGCTTTGGATGATGCGTTTGTTCACTGGAAGTGTAGTTTAGGGCAGTATGCTCGCACTTGTATGTTCCGCTTCGCTCGCCAGGATAAAACAAAACACTTTACTGGTAAGGTATTTAGTCAAACAAAGGTTGCCCTCTGTATATGCGCAATGCCATCGCTTTTCGCGTGATTACACGTTAGTTTATCATTATTGTTTTCGTTTACCACTCTGATTCAGTTCGTGCTCTTTTGTGTGCTTCATGCATTAGAGACCAAGGTAACCCAGAGACCAAGGTAACCCACCTTATTCAAAAGTTATAAGGCATTTTCTGAAAGTTTCAATGGGAGAATGGAGTCCATTTTTGCCCGTTTTCGGTTTCTGGTGCCATAGAGCCCCATAAATTCGAAAACTCCGTCGGTGGCCATTTTCCCATTGAACTTTTCAGAAAATCACTTATAACTTTTGATTAAGTAATCGGATCGGGCTGAAACTTTGACATCTGGTTGTGACCTCTAGCGCTACCTTTGGGAGGAGAATAAGCGTTCGGCGATGCTTAGTTTATTTTTGCGGAAGAAAAAAAACATGCAATTTTTTTTGTTGTGTGACACCTTGTACATTGCTTAAACTATGTTCAAAAGCTATCCACAGACCCAGAATCTCTGCCTGGCCAGTGATTGCATTTATCACTGAATTGGTATTGAAATAATTCTTATTATTTATTGCTCTGAGTTAATTTTTAACTTCGGCGTTATTTCTTTTTATTATGACTCCCGCACCAGTCCTACTTTGGGTTTAGCAAACTCAACAATTAAACTTGAGTGTCATTTTTTTTGGTCTCGTGGTTTTGGTCAAAATGAGCACCCAGCTACCTAAACGAGACACCTGACCACCCAAAAAAAAGTTTATTTTTTTTATTTTTTAGGTATTTAATTTTTCAAGCTAGAATTTTGGAAACCCAGGTCTATCACGTCATCACGTTTTCCTGGAAATCCACAAAGAGCCAAACACATGCACGACAAAAGGGCCGGCCCGTCATATTGCCGCCAGCAGAGCCGAGAAAGCAACGCTCGGTCACGGACTTCGATTCGCATTGATTCTTGCACCAGACGTAACTTTCGCCCTGCTTTCTTGTTCTCGAAAGTGCCAGTTCATCCTCGCCCCGAGCGCGCGACGCTCGAATCTTCTTTGCCGAGCTTTCGAGATGGTGACGCACTGTAGATAAGCAGCTACCAGCGACCTTGTCGAGTCACTCTCGCTCTCGCTCTCTGTTACGCTGCCAAATCGCCGCCTGCTTTTCTGCTGCCTCGACGCTCTTTTTTACTTTTTTGTTTGGCACAAGTTCACTGATTAAACCTTTATTTTTCAGTTCACTGTTCGTCCTCTCGTCACCTTCATTCGTGTCAGTATAAATATGATCGCATTGAAATATGTGTAATTGGCCTCTAAAATCTCCGATAACGGCGAACAGGCACTTTATATTTTTCAACGTGTCGGTGTGCATGTGTCTCGCCATTTGGCTCAGGACGATTTTCGCGTTTTGTTCTGCCCACATTTGCTGGAGATGTGAGCTCGGAGCGTAGGCAGCTCTGAGGCAGCTGGCTCCCTTGCACGAGAACTGGTGCAGCCGTGCGCGTTCCAAAGAAAGCTCGTGCAGAGAAAAACAAGCAAGGGACCAGGGATGTCAAATTCAGGATATAGAAAAATACCCCACTGTATCGGGGCGCTACCACACACGATTTCTCGCATTGATGCACAGGCCTGGAAGCAATCCCACCACCATCTGTTGGTTTCACATTAACCAAGGGTAGGGTTGCACCTTAAGCGCTCAGCGACCATAGTTTGTTTTGAGACACGTTCCCGCGTGGCTGGAGGCCACTCACTCAAAGTACTCCTGGGCGGGGCTAGTGGAGTCGTTGGACGCGTTGGCCCTCTCGGCCAGCGTGAGACAGGTCTCGGTGTTCCAGGGGTTGTCGCAGCGGGTCCAGGGCAGCTCCGAGGCCAGCGAGGCTACCAGGTAGTACACGGCCCAGGCGATCACCGTGTTGTAGTACATGGCCATGTACAGGTCCAGGATGCAGATGGCGTAGCCGATGCCTAGGGAGGTCGAGGCCATCATGGGGCCCGGTACGCCGACGTCACTGGGTTACTCCCGTTATCCACAAACGATCGTTTGCCAGGACCCGGGTTAATTAACAAATACCTCGTACTTCGTTTCACAGTCAATACAAAATCGGCTTTCCTCTCCTTCCCAGCCGTGGCTCCGACAGCACTGCGCGCAACTAGTGCGAGTGAGCCTAGTCACGTGTCTCTCTCCGACGCGCTCATTGGCTCACAGGGACCGTGTAGCTTCCGCCCTTTACCGAGTTATTTTGAGAAAGTGTCTATATCTAGCTAGCAAAGTCTTAGCGCTGAATATTTGGCGTCACCTGAGGCCAACGCAAGGCACCGGTTGGACAGGAGATATTGCGTCAGGAGTCGTCAGGAGTCGCCTGCAAGGACTCGTGTCTTGACTGATCGAAAGCGAGCTCCAGCATTCGTGTCCAGTGTTTGCGTTTGGCCTCATTTAGGTGACGTCTAAAATTCACGGCCTTGCTGTTTAGGAGGCGGGCCCCTCTCAACACTCGTCTCCGGTAGAGGACGCAAGCAACACGGTTTGCTTCTACACTTTGTACTTTCCTGCAGAACGAACCCGTGCACAGCCAATAACAGCCGCCTATACGATGCGATTGAAACGGCTATAGCTACGCCAATAATTAAACAAAATTTCCGTTAAAAGAGAAAAAGAAGAATATTGACGCTAGGTTTTGGGGATGTGAAATGCAATGCTCAGTGCTGGAGCCAAGCTATGGTAACTGGAACAGCTTTCTGACCGGTGTGTTTACCACAACCTGATTTCCGATCACCTTATTTACGCCTGATGACGTCAGACTTTTACCATGTTGTTGCCTGCCATGATCCTGGCGGTGGAACGGCAGCGGAGGTAGATATGGCAGACGCTCTTTCAGCCGTAGGTCTGTCTCAAGTACAGTGCAGGGAAACTCGAAGAGCCACGAGTCGGAATGCTCCGACGACAGCGACACTTCCGTTTCGCTCGTTTCTTATGTTTTTTTCTTTATTTATTTTTAAACCTTTACGACCAAATGCCAAGATTGTGACGTAGTTACCTGTGATGTAATCAGTTGCCCCTTCGGGACTATACCTTCAATAACTAACGTGGTAACCCGGGAGCGGGTGAAAACCGGGATGGACAACACAAAGTTTTTTGTTGTTCGTCCCAATGAAAAAACAAATTGGGTTGTGTGTATGTTTATACAGCCTAAAACTTGATCTGCCTCAAGGAGCGACGAGTCTCCCAGCTGTAGATAAAAAATTTCGCCAGTGCAGTAAAACCACTAGCCAAGGAGCGACGAGTCTCCCTGCTGTAGATAAAAAATTTCGCCAGTGCAGTAACACCACTAGCCTAAGGTCTTTAACATGCATCACGCAGTAGTGATACACGCCCACACGCCGGTACGATGCTCATCTAGATCCCGACGCCATCTATCAATACAAACGCCAAACACACCTCTCTACTGCACTTGGTCATTTGCGTCGCCGCCCGCCGTAGACTCTGGCAAGCTTCTTGGCCCTATTTTTTACACAAAGAGAGCTACGCTTTGTAATTTATACCTTTGGCGAAATAAATATACCTTTGGCGAAAAGTTCAGATTGCTACGTGCAGGCGTAGATTTTTACGGTCCATTTTAGATCGAGCCTGGTGACTTAAAACACCCTCACTTTTCGAGGGTCACTCTATTCATCTCCAAGGCCAAACCCCAACGCTCTACAGTAGTAGTTTCATACATCGTTGCGTCGCCGGAAAAAGCTCAGCTGTCCTCGGTTCGTATATACGCTAGCGTGCACGGCAATCTCGGCAGCCGAATATGACGTTTTTCAGCTGCCTCCAAATGATTTCGAGAGCCTGTGTTTCGTCAGTGAAAACTTAAGAAACGTAGGGCATTACGATTTCCGAGTATCTTAGAAGCGCTCCGCAGCAAATGATATTCCCCCATTAGCCGATAACAGCAGGACGAATCGCAAGGTAAGAGGTGCGCCAGTGACTACAGTGGCAGTGGTTCAATGACCTTCTCTATAAGCCAGGGGCGATCGCGAATTCGCTAAAAATATTGGACTATAAAAATAAGAACAAAAAGCATCCGAAGACTGTGGCCGTGGCTCAGAACTATCCCATCCGGTAGCCGAATTCGGCGTTCACGGTTAGCGTGTCAAGTTTGTAGGGTGGCTGAGCAGATGCAGACGCAAACAACGAACAGATGCAACAAAAGTTCCAGCATTTCCCGGCTAAAAAGGCAGCGCTTGCAAAATGGCTCTTTCTTTCTTAGCTCGAAGGGGAGCTTGGAGAGCGATGGAAGGGCTTTTCGCTTGGCGGAGATGGAAATAAGAAAACAAGCGGCGAAAAAAGGCGAAAGCGTCGCTCAATCATCAAGGCCAGAATTAGCTCCCTCCCGCCCCCGTGCGCGTTCCGAACTTACTTTCACGTCGTTCAGTGCTCCTCCACTTGAGCCGCGGGGGAGGAGTAACGAGAGCTATGCACACTGCGCTTGCTCGAGCATGTTTTCCATTTGAGAAACAGTATATGTATTGCAAAAAAAAAAATGTGCGCGCCTCATCGAGGATGCTTTTAACACTTCGAGCACCTTCTCTTTTTTTAAAATATGACACATTTGGTGCTTTTTAATATGTGCAAGAACAGACTAATAGTCCGTCTTAAACTAAAAAGGAAAAAAAAAATGTAGATGACCAAGTTCGTCCGGGCTAACTTTGCGCTGTACCAATTTGTCTTAAGTATTCTTCACAATCACAGAAATACACTCTCCTTACCGCGCTGAATGATCTTTTAAGCAAAAGCATCGACACAATGAAAATTTCGCGCAATGAAAGGTATAAATTAATTACTAAGAATCACTCTATTTTTATGCGTTATGTAGAGTTTTTATGCTGTTGCTGTCTATATAATAAGAAGAAGGAGAAGAAGAAGAAAAAGAATGTTTTGTGTATGTGTATCCCAAAGTTAGTCAACCTCAGTGGATGTCTGGTGTCTCAGCTGTAGATGAGAAATAGCCAGTGCAGTACAACCGCTATTTTGGGTTTTTTTAACGTGCATTACGCAGTGGTGATACACGACCGCACGCCGGTAGAATCTCATCCAGATCCAAACGGGCAGGGGTGGGGATTGAGCCCAGGGGTGCTATGTTGCGCTTTTTGGACTCCCAGGAGACTAGGGAGAAGGAAGTGACGTCAACGACACAGCAAACGCAGATTGGATGTTGACAGAAGAAAACGAAATCAACACCCAATCTGCGTTTGCTGTGTCGTTGACGTCACTTCCTTCTCCCTAGTCTCCTGGGAGTCCAGAAAGCGCAACATGGCACCCCAGGGACCCTACGCTGCGCTTTCTGGACTCCCACGGCGACCAGGGAGAAGGAAGTGACGTCAACAACGCAGCAGACGCAGATTGGGTGTTGATTGGTGAGAGCCGCTGATGACAGATTTCCGCAGAAGAAAACAAAGCTCACTTTTTCTTTGTTTTCTTCTGCGGAAATTCGTCATCAGCGACTCTAACCAATCAACATCCAATCTGTGTCTGCTGCGTTGTTGACGTCACTTCCTTCGCCGTGGGAGCCTAAAAAGCGCAACATAGGGTCCCAGGATTCCTGGGTTCTGCATCGCTGCTGTTTATAATTTGATTATATATTTGTTATATTAGACTACAAGGGAGCAAAGGACTCCGGCAAGTTAGAGTTTTTTTCCTTGACTTTCCCCATCCATGCACCAGGTTGGAAAATGCAGTTCTTCAAATGCACATGCTCTGTTCCCTAGCCAGCGTCACTGCCTTGGCGTGTCGTCAGAGACATAAGTGGGTACAGACTCTGAGTTGAGGGCTGAAAAGTGACACTTGAACTACCCTGTTCGTCCGGTTTCTTCAGTTAAAACTCACGAAATAAAATCGAATCGTCGCCAGGTTTCATTTTTGGGTTGGAATATACACAGTGTGGGTTTGTACCAGACTTGTGCCTATATTTCTTATACTTATTGAAATATCTTGGTATCTTGCAAATACTTTTTATCGAGAGTATTTGATGCTCTATTTTAATTACAATTCCAAGTATCTTGTACTCATTATCTTAAATATATTTTTAACATTCCGCCATTTCCCGAGTTTTTCGGTATGAAGTGGCGCGGGCGTGACACGAGCAAACGTGAACATCCTTTCGAGCAACCAAATCCTGTTGCTAGCTCCGATTAGCTATGGTGACTTTGACTGAGCTCGTGAAAACATCGCTTTTTTGCCCATTGTAACTCATATTTCAGCCCAAAGTTTGCATAATGAAGGTTTTCCCCTTACCTTTCCAGAGGCGCCTTTTGTTTCCATAAAGTTTCCCCAAGAAATCCTCAAACAAAAGGTGTGGTTTTACGGAAGCGAAGATGCCACCCTGAGGCGTAACGCAGACCGGAAAACTATACCTACGACAACAATGCAGATTTGAGTGTCAAGAAAATGACAAATAGAAGAAAATGAGAAATGGCCACACACACTCACACACAAAAAAATTTTTTTGCTTTTTGTATTTTTGATTTCGCTAGGGAAAAACGTCGAGGTATTCTTTTGTTTCTTTTCTTTTTGTCGTCAGTCTGTCGCCTATTGATCTCGACAACACTGTCTGTAAGCAAATATTGGTAAGTAAGGAAAATTGGTACAGTAAGGAAAAAAACTACGAACTGAATGACCCCTCAAAATGCCAACAAAGTGTCCCCCGACGTTGAGTGCCTTTCTGAACGCAACCTATTTAGAGAATGTGCGACCACTGCCGTGGCTATTATGTGGGTTCTCTTTGCTATCCATACATATTAACGGCATTAGCGCACACGTATGAGGAAGAAAGAAGGGACAGAAAAGAGCGCTACTCACAACTGTATTTACAACGATGAAGAAAAGAAAGAACATCGTCCAGCTCCCCATAAAGATGAAAAAGGAAGAAGAGGAAGCAGCAATATAAAACAGGAATATAAAACACAAAGTCGGGTGTTCCCTC